GCCAGAGAGATAGAGAGTCACGGGTGCCAGAGAGATAGAGAGTCACGGGTGCCAGAGAGATAGAGAGTCACAGGTGCCAGAGAGATAGAGAGTCACGGGTGCCAGAGAGATAGAGAGTCACGGGTGCCAGAGAGAAAGATTCACGGGTGTCAGAGAGATAGAGAGTCACGGGTGCAAGAATTAGAGACACAGTTACAAACCTCCAACAGCTAATCTTTTGTATCTAAATGCTCATGAATTTGCATTATCAGGTCTTTAGATAAAAATAGCATTAGAGACAATCATTAACATATCCGTAGAAACGTGTGTAACAGACGAGGGAACCGCCAGTTGACCGATTTCAAGCAAATGAATACATTTCGAAATTCTAATTCTCGTACAATCCACAGAAACACTAAGTTACCCAGTGATATTTTTATTGAAAATAACTAAACTTATATAAACGGAATTTACATAATTAATTTATACATCTTGATACTTGTTTTGTCCTAACACTATGTTCAGAAAATATTTCGAATTGCGATGAAACTTTCAACTACTCTTGGTCAAATATAAATCTAGTAGGTAACGGAGTTTCTGAAGAGAGTGGCGTGTGAAGGAAAATTGCCAACTCCGACAAGGTCCGATCCGTCTGATGGTCAGATGTTGAGCACCACATGGAAGCTCCAATAGGAAAACGATATCGACAATGACCAAAACAAGCGAAGTCGAAAGTCTACGGAGGCTTTGAGATTGTTTTCAAATGTATGTCCGATCCCCGAGAAAACCTCTCAATATTCCTAGAATCACGAATAAATAATCCCGCAATTTGAAATAAAGAATTTCATAAAATATAAGTTAAGGGATCTGTTGCTAATCTAATCACATTGTTTCAATAGAGGGTTCGAGGTTTTACAAGGGCACCCATTTTCAAGTGATGGTTGCATGGCACTGAATCAGTAAATTCTTAGCATAAAAATCATTAGGTTAAATGACCACTCACTATATTTTAATGATTAATGAAAATCTTAAATATTACAGGATACCAAGACGAATCATTCGTGTAAGCAGAAACAATTTTAAAAATATAAAATTTCAAGACCGAGTTTTATTTATTATCGTACACTAGAGGATTTATTTGGAACAATACCTAAAAAATTAAAAGTAAAATTTAATTGAATATTCAATGGAATATACTTTCCGATGACGAAGAAGGCTTTTATATATCAGAATTAAGAAAAGGAAGAATTCAACAGATAATCACATAATTACTCAAAAAATGATTAATTCTTTTGCACATAAGAATTTACACACGCTTGTATCACGCACGTACCAAATTTATGCATCGCAGTAATGCGCTTACTGAACTCAACGAGGGACAACCTTACACATGACGACGCACCTGATCGGTGACCTGCACTCTAAAGTTGAGTCCCGCTCTGTGCTGTGGGTTCTCAAAATCCAGCGGCACTCTAGAGAACAGGTCTGCACCACCTGTGCTTGCTGCTACTTCCACCAGCTGCCAGCCGTGACCGCTCCCTGGCATCACCTGTCGTGCGTGTGAAAGTGCGAACAAGAGATTGTATTTCGATCGATACGAGTCAATAAACTCGTCTGAAAAAATGCTTAAGCTCTAATTTAAGTGTAGTCATGTTCAACTATTGTTATGTTTTATGAATGTATCAAATGCAGGTATTATTATCGATGAAAAATGTACGTTGCTTACACCTTTCTTCCCCAAGACGAAATATAAAATTGATTTATTTGAAAAGAAACTCATATACTTGTCACCTGCTCGATATCGATCATCTTGCTTTGATTGGTTGCACTACTTTTCCTGCTGTCCTGTAATGGGTTTCAAAATATTTTAATGCAAAGATAACTAATAATTAAAGCTCACCGTGCTGCCTATGACATAAACCATCAATTACCCGGTATGCAAACACGTTGCTTGTATCAGGATCCGTCACCACAAGAGTCGAGATGAAATTTTCAGAGACGTTGCTGCGAGATTTGGACGATGGAAGGCCGCGGGAGGGAAATTCTCTGTTGGAAGACAACACTGCGCTGGATGATAGTGCTTCCTTGGGCAACGTGACTTCGATAGACAAAGGAACTCCGTCGGATGACGAAACGTCGGGAGATGGCGATGCTCCGTTGGATGACGATGCTCCATGGGACGAAGAACGCTGGAAAGATGGTTGACGATGTTCGGGGACCACAACATCGACGTGCGATCGCACGAAGGAAGGAGGAACGTCGTTGACGTCGTCGATGTTAACGGTAACGGTGCAAGTACCTGAACAAACAGCAACGTAATGATTTTCTATTCCTTAGCGACGTAATACAATAATTTAATCACATCGTACGCTAACTTAGTGTTTTAGGGGATAACCAAATGTATAGTTGAAATTAATCTTTAAAAAATTAATGGGATTTAATTGTAGGCAGTCAAAAATGACTGGATGCTGATGTGTTTTATTTGGGATCAAGTGTAGGGAAGAAAAATTATCACTTAATTGTACTCCCATCTGCAGACTTTTTTGGAACAAACTGGAAGTTTAGACTTTACGGGACAACACAATTTTATGGTCGCAAGGGAAATGTTAACTGCCGTTTCGTTAGTGCGGGGCGCTATTTAAGAGAGCTTTGCTTTTCGCCAAAGTCGCTGCGTAAAAAAGAAGTCTTTGTCAGAGCAAATGTCAACAAAACCCAAGTTGCTGCGGTCATAAAGGAACTAAATTCACACGCACCGCTCGCAATATAGTAAAAAACGCTTCGAAGAAAAGCTGCTGTTATTTAGCGCACCATCGTTATTTTGAACCCGATGAGCGAGGCATGGGATGCCTGTAGCAGTAGCTAGTACGCTGGATATTTCTAGGATGGATTATCATCATTATAAATGAACAAATTGAATTAAATTAAATTAAAAAAATCTTCAAAGTAGAGTCGGTCGCTATCAAGCGAATCATGCGCATTATTGCAGATGATCCGAAAAATATCTTAACTTAATTATCAACAAACAAGCTTGCGAAAGGAAGGCGAGAGCATGGGGACGTTTCCATTGTTAAGCATACAATTAACAAAATTAACTTCCTTTGTTAAGAAATAATCAAGTGCTCAAAATGAGCAGATTCGACGGATCACCGATTAGAATACGGACGGACGTAGTGGGATCCAAACGAATGGAGCAATGAGATGAACTCATCACTCGGGAAACCGACTGATTTAAAGGCAGAATTTTTCCTCGAGAAAAGCTACATCACAATCTCGCACAAATTCCTTACAAATTATTAAGCTGGGCGGTCAGCTGCGACGACGGACAGGCGACAACAGCAATGCCAGGAAAAAATTAATTGCATTTTTGGACATGGTGGACATTTTTGGCGTACGCGAGCAAAACGAATGAAGGAATTTATATGAATTTATTTCTTGAGTTTGGCTGTAAACAACAAAATTTTATTTGTTCTACTTCTTAACTGGGGAACAAAAAAATCTTCTTCTACTTCTACTTTATTTGTTCAACTTCTTAAGTGGAAACAAAAAATCTTCTACTTCTTAATTTGGGATAAAAAATAACAAATATCAGAAGAAACTTAAGATTAATTTGAATATATTCATAACAATCTCATCGATCCATCAGGAGGAAATGAAGCAGTGCAGGGAAATAACCCATAAATGACGCTTGGAGAAGTTGTGGCGTGAAAAAAACTATTTTAATGTCAATATTGGTTCGGTAATGATGAATTTTCCTTCTATATGAATAGAGAAAAATATGTGAACGGTATTAAACTTTTGTCCGATATTTTAATGACTGCGTTGAATTCAGAGAGTGAGCCATCATTTGGTATTAAGAAGTAATTGAAAACTCCTCAATGTTTCTTAATTAGGAAAAAAAAATTTGGCTATTTATCTCGAGACACCAATAGCAATTCATGTAAATATATATGTTTATATTATCACCCGTAATATCGTTTTATCTGGTGAGGCACCACAGCTCATTGGATGTATTTAGCAGGCAAATATTTATCCTCTTTACATTTCTTTCTTCCAGTAAAGAATGGAAGCACAGCAGCTCGTGTCAGTCCAGCAGACATCTTCTCACCCGGTACCAAGACGGGCGTCAAAACATTGTGGGATTGTGCGCTTCAAAAGAATACGCGGGAATACCGCAAATATAAGAAATATTGTGACGGAATGACGCAAAAGAGGTCAGAAAAACAGAAAATACGTAATAGATGCACGTGGCAAATTATTCCGGCATTACCAATGAGAAATACAATGGACGCAGCATTGATTCGTACAGTGGATCTTGAGAATAATTTGAGCATCGGGGATTATTGAATATTTGGGCAAATACAAAATCAGATATAAGCCGATTATTTTCCAGACAAGTATGGAGCGCGAGTTAAGAACTGAATTTAAACTGGCTATCGACTAAAAATTTGAGAAATCCCTCAAAAAATCTAGGGAATATGAAGGATTAAACAGTTTAGGGATTTGTCAAAGATAATGAATGTTCCTGAGTTCAATTTTTTAATGTTAAAAAATTATCCATGATTCTCGGGAAAGAAATTCGTAAAATTTCCAGTTCATTTAACAGAGCTGCCGTGATGGTGATTCCAGCCTTGGGTGCTCACGAGAATAACTTGTTAATAATCCGGTTATCCTACAGAAAGATATTACAAGACTCGATATAAACTTCGGTGAGCAGCGCCGGGAAAGTTCATACGAGTTGAGCAAGCGGCTTTTGAGGAGCGGACGCGCGGAGTTACTTCTTCTGCATTATTTTAGACGGCGCCTGAAGCTAACCATCAAAATCAGAAACTATCAGAGTCACGACTAAAAAACCGGCAGATTTTGCAGCAGAATGTCGAGTGTAAATTTAATTATATAATATGAAATTTTGGTTGCTTGGGCATAAAATTTCTAGATGGAAAAAATATAATAAAAAATGCACTTCAAACAATTCCATAATGAAAACAATAATTTATAGAGCCCCAGCAAAAACGCTATTTCGCATCTTAAGTCCTAGTATATTCCTCATAAACAAGGTTGGGAGGCATCGATCACCATTATTATTAAATAATGTTATTTATTAAATGGAAAAATATTCATCGCTCACATGAAGCGGGAGCCTTCAGATGGCCAGTAGCAGGAAGCTGAATGTGAAGAACAAGGTTAGCATCTAAGATGGAGCGGAGGATATGAAAGGCTACAGGGACACAGGCAAGAGGTCTACGTGTCTATAGAGTTTGTTACATATCGCATTAAAAGAATAACATTTGTGGAGAACCCACCTTGAAGACCTCCTCCGTCAGTAGCAGCAAGCACAAGCCCGTAAGACGACGTGTGCTCCCTGTCTAGACAGCAGACGGCCGTACGCAGAGCCCCCGTCTGCCTGTCAACTGTGAACATAGGCAGGCGGGAGCGTTCATCAATGACGTTCTTCAGCAGCGAATACGACAGGCGGGCGTTGTCGCCTTCATGCGGGTCGTCTGCGTCGTGCGCAGTCACTACCGCCACGGTCGTTCCTTGAGAAAAAAACTAAATTACCTCATGAAGAATTTCAGACAATAATATTGATATGCTGAAAAAATATGAGAGATAAATTTTTCAGGTGCATGTGTGTTCAGATTTGGGGTAGTGGAAAGCCCCATCAGAAAATAGGTGTCTCGTGAGAATATTCGAAGACACAGTAAAAGTAAGATGCTGCCGCCGTTCACCGTATACCTCATGGTAATCGCAGGGGTAAGACGAGAGTTGGTCTAACGGGCTTGATACAGCGTCTCCTCATCTTGCACATACTTTCTGTGTCTTGTCTGGGCTAGAACTCTCAGTGGCCGCGTCTATTATATTGACACGACCGACAGATTAAAATTTTGGGATACGCCAATTACTAAAATACATTAATTGACCAAAGTTACAGGCTAAAACTGGCGAGAAAAACTGCTTCGATTTCGAGAAATGTGACACTTGGGGAACTTCCAACTTTGACGAAAATTTTTGTCGAATTTGCAGAAAGTGAAACTTGGGAAACTTCCAACTTTGACGAAAATTAACTTGATATCTCTTCCTCAATCGTCATGGGCGAAGGTATAAATCTCGAATATAAAGTCTCTCTTTAATCCTGGTATCTCGAATACAAAGTCTTCAATCCTGGTATCTCGAATACGAAGTCTCTCTTCAACCCTGGTATCTCGATTACAAAGTCTCTCTTCAGCACTGGTATCTCGAATACAAAGTCTCTCTTCAACCCTAGTGTTTAAACCCATAACGTAAAGCTTTGTCAAGTCATCTAAGCAAAGTAGAAGATTTATATTTTTTGTAGTCGTAACAGATTAAACACAAAAGCGCGTAATTAACCGTTGAACGCGCTAGGTTGCCACGACAATGAATACATGAATTTCTTCCTCTCGCCCTCCGCGTGCTTTTTTGACCGCCTTAGACTTACTATAATTTAACCGCTGTTCTAATAGCGACTCCAGAACGACGATTTCATCATATCGTTTCGATATGCGAACCAGATAACGGTAAATATTATTCAAAAAATAAATAAATTAAAACTCTTCAACACTAATTCAACTGGAAATTTGTTGTGCTTAATTTTCGCCCCTTGCAAATCTTTTCTTCGAATGTGAGACACCGAATTTACATTAATCAGATAGCTTACCTCTGAAGATAACTTGAATGAAATAATATTCACTAAGTAAACAATGATACAGGCATCTAATTTGTCCAAAATCTGAACATGAAATATTTCAACGAATTTGACGAAATATCTAGATCGTTATCACTAAGAAAACAATTTAACGCTTGAGATGTGAAGTATAGTCTAAAAATCGTGTTGATTGTTGATACTTTTCAAATGTCGTGCTAATGTTATTCCACATGCGCACTGCAAAACTGTGCCAACAGAAGCTTGCGTAAGAAGTTGGTTGGTTCTGACAAGTATAGAAGCATTCCCTGAACTGAAACACATCGACCAAAGAAATCTCCTAAAGTTTCATGACAGTTTGCAGCAAGCCGAGAGAATATTTCCAATGTTGCGGTTTCTTGTTTCCTTTTAAGTTTTTTAGCTTAATTGTAAAACGTAAATTCTCGGGAAATCAAGCATGAATTTGCCAGTAATGTTCGACATTAAATTATGTCAAGCTCATCAACACCTGCAATATTTTCGAAAAACTTTAGCGACTCAAGTTGTTTAATTAGCTTCGAGTTACATCGACGGTGTTATTGAGAATAGAAAACTTTGAAATTTTAATGTCAATTGCCAACATAACGTAAAATAAGTATATTACGACATGCGATATAGAAGCCACTGCCATTAAAAAGCCGCGAACTTTTCCTAACATCGATAAAAGTCGCATAAACTTGTCGAGCGTGAAACTTGGCTTGTTCACGATAACGGAGCGGAGCTCCAACTTTATGACGAGGGAAATCCGTCTTTTAGAATCAAATAAGATGGAAAAACGATAATTTTTCAGAATTCCAAAACTTGATATTACTACTTGCTGGAAAGACTGAATATGGAAATAAGTTATGAAAATACATTGATCGCTTGCCAAGATATTATAAGGGATTATTTATCGTGATACGGACCTGATTGTCAGGGGCGTAAAAGTTCAAATACTTATTAAAACCTTTTCATATTATATTAAGACAAGCTGCTTTGTCGTGAGTCACCTTGAAATTATAAATCAAATTTTTTCATTAAAAAGCAAAATATTTTTCATTCAGGTTTAAGCGTTATTGAAAAGTTTCATCAATAAAAAACCAAGGCCAAAGTCATGATCATTAATTAAAAAAGTTATCACCTGACATCGAGTTTTCCAAGACGTGTGCGTCGATGACGTCACGCGGGAAGACGGGTGCGTTGTCGTTGACGTCTTTGAGGTTGACGAGTACGTCAGTGGAGGCCGTGTACTGCCCGTCCGTGGCCGTGACCGTCAGACGCCAGCGCGCCTGGCCCGTTGGTGCGTCACGGTCCAACGGCTGCCAGGAAAATGTGAACATTTTTGTACGTTAATTATTCTCGACCAATGTAGTAGCGGGTTCGCCCGTGGGTTCTTATCCTTGATCTAATCTATCAGCTCTAAAAACAATGAAATCCCTAAACGCGACGTTTTATAGAATCTGCACAAACTTTCGTTTACTCCATAATAAAGATTTTCTTACATTTCACTAGCCTGTGTGTTGCAAGTGCGCACGTAATTTACACACCACAGACACCCAACACTCCCGGCCACTTCGTGTACCTGATCTACTGCATTACAATTAAGAAGGTGTGCCAGGTACTCTGCTATGTTTTTGTTTGAAGCCTCCCTCGATCGGTATCAAGGATACTATCTTCGTATTGTATCTTCTCCTCTGGGGATCAGACATCGTCGCAATTTACGTAGAGATCAAGTGTCACTTAATGCCAGACATCAAGCGTCAATTTTATTACGAAGTGATTTTGTTGTAAAGGCTCCAAAGCTCGAATTATTTGCTGTGAGTCTCAATTAGAATGAAACGCTCTAGCTAGTAAGCTTTATTCGCAGCAGCCATGGATTTTAGGACACCTATTTCATTAGGACCCACACATTTCATTCATTTGGCTTTTCTTGAATCGCTAAAATTGCGCAACAAAACTGTCGGCTGAAATCCATCTTAAATCTGTGCGCAAAAATCCGCCAGAATGTAGAGGGCGCCGGGATAATTTCAGTCCCGCCTGAATTTCCCCGCAAAACACAAGAAGTTGGGAATTAAACAGTCAGCGTATGTTATTTACGAGGCCATCGCTCTGCTGCCTGTCTAGAGGCCCAAGATGAGCGGCTTTTGTCTATAACTCCTCGCATATTTTGAGCTTTCCTCAATTGAGGCACAATTCCAATATCAAAGTAATTAGGAAGAATGGAAAATTACAATTTTCACGAAAGCTATTGATTATGAATATATAACGTTGCAAAATATGGTAGAATCGTTTCGGTGTTTAAAATTAATTATCAATAAAAATATTATTTACCTCCAAATTATATCTTTCAGACGAATTTCGTCTCTTTTTGTACTCACTTGTTATGTACTTTATTTTAAACTAAATATTTGATTGTTCTACATAACTTTATGGCAATTCATCATTAAGTTCACTTGAATGGAAACAAGGATGTGTAACTCACTAGGTTATTTTTGTATCGTGGCTGAAAGGCTTTTTACAATTTAATTATTCTAACTTAATTGGGTTTTCTCCTTTGTAATTAAAACCTTTTACGCCTCTAAAAGTAAAAAATGAACGGCTATTAAAAATAGAAAGTCAATTAAAAAATAGAAAAAAATCATTCGAGCATTTTTTAGATATTTTCATAAGACTAAGGAAAAAGCATAAATATAAGAACACCGAATGAAATCCTTTAATTTTTGCGACAAATACTTAAATGAATTCGGACAAAAATATAGTAGGAGCAAAGCTCCACGAAGAATCAAAGAAGCATGCAAAATTGTTCGCTGATAATTTGGCGAAATTTCCACCTGCACTTCTTGCACACCAGACAACGGCATACTGGTATCATGTTTACACCGCTATATATGAGCTCAAATTTTCTGGTCACAGAATTGTCACGGAACGCTCTGCAGGCCGGATAAGGTTGCCATCAATGCTACGATTGTAAATCCTGTGGAGGTTCTATAAAATTTAGCATCGGAAAATCGACCATTGCAACCTTCACTGGCACGTGCACACTCTATGGAGAAGGGTTTGAAATTCTAGCGCACTTTTCTTCGTTAAAAAAATCGGTCGCCTGAACAGAGAAAGATCAGACACAAAAGATTGCCTAGCTCTGCAAAATCAAAATTAAAAAGTCCAATTAGCCCCCTTTTTGCGCATCGTTTCATACATAACTTCAAAAACCACCAGTAAAGTTTTGAGCCTCAATACTCTTGGCTAGCAAATAGAATACCGTATCTGTTAAAAATTTTTCGCATCAATAATAATAATAATAATAATAAAAGCATCTAGTACCAAACGCATTTATTTACATGAGTAAATAACAACGTCGATAAAACTGCCTGGACAACTGAGAAGCGAACGACCTTTCTCGTGAAATATTCCTCAGCGGCACGATGGGCAAGAAATGAATAAAGCTTCAGTGGCAAGAGTGGCAGGCTTCGTGCCCGAGTTATTCATCTCGAGACGCACAGCTGGCCTCGGGTGGCAGGTGGCATTCATCAAGTGGTGGAGCTTATCGTTATTCAGGTATTGTGAACGGCTTTTGAGTTGGCCTGAGTCTTAGCCTTTATTTGAGTATACTGAGCAGCATATGATTCGTCCTGAGTATTTGCGAGTATACAGATCGACCTTTGAAGATTCGTCCTTAGTCTTTGTCGCTATTCGAGCGTACTGAACGGCTTAGCATTCGTCCTGAGTCAGCCGTAATTCGGGCATACTAAACGGCCTTTGAATCTGAGTCCTTGCCGTTACACAGATCGGCCTTTGATTCGGCCTCAGGCTTTGCGTTGTTTGAGCGTACTGAACGACTTATGACTCGGCCGAGTCTTAGCCATGATTCGGGCATACTAAACGGCCTTTGACTCGGCTTGAGTCCCTGCTGTTATTCGATCATGCAAATTGGCCTATGATTCGGCCGTAGTCTTTACCGTTATTCGAGCGCACTGAACGGCTTAGGACACGGGGGCATATTTTGCCGTTATTCGGGCATATGAAAACGGTCTTTCACTAGGCCTGAGGCTTTGTGGTTATTAGGGCATATGAAAACGGCCTTTGAATAGGCCTGAGTCCTTGCGGTTATTAGGGCATATGAAAACGGCCTTTGACTAGGCCTGAGTCTTTGCGGTTATTAACAAACTGAAGTGGGAATGACTGGCCATATAGAGCATTGTTCTTGTTCGTTATACTTAATAATGAACTTACTTTGATTATTAAATTGAAACTAGCCATGTATCCAAAAACACGAAGCATTTAAATGCCGAATCAAAAATCGGGAAAGTTGTAACAAGGTTTAATGTCGACGAGTGGACCCAATCAAGAGGAAGCCTAAATAGAAAAATAAACAAGTTATCGTGAAAAAATCACTTGCTTCATTCAAAATGGAAAGAATAATTTCAACGATTGGAGTGTGAAACGGAATTATACTAATTACGATAACAATCTGAAATAAATAGAATTATAATAAAAATAAGACTCTCATCCGCACAAAATTTCTAGGCAGGATTTGGCGCTTTAAGTAAGAGCGAGAATTGCCGGCCATGCGCCGCCATGATCTTGGTCGTAAATAGGTGGCTTTACGACGTTTCTGAGAGCCGAATTACGACTCGCTTCTCTGTGATGGAGTCCCCTAGTGAAGTAGACATGACCGACTGGCCTGTGACACTCTTGTGATTTATGATGAACTCGTAAATGTAAAACTAGGACTTGACACACTTTTATTATGACGTCATTGAACACCGCATGAAGTTATCGTTACATCGTAAGTTCAAAATTTTAACGCTTGACATGATAATAGAGACATCATTCCGAACAAAATCATTGATGATGTAACAGAAATGAATAACAGAATGAAGAAGGGGAAAATAGTAATAACTGTAGAAATAATAAATATGACGTGCCACTATGAACAACAAATATGTACAGCGAGCAAAAATGTCTGTTATATTCAAGCCGCATAACACAGATGGATAAGATCAAAAGGATTCATTTACAGGTTTTAGAATAAGAATACCGAACGGAAAGCTCGACATTATATGCTAGAGACAACGATTTTTAATAATAAGTATCGGAGAAAAAATTCAAAAATCCCGTCACCGTACATGTAACATAGACATTTGAGGTATCAACAGCTGGCTCATTCCTCGGCTTTCCATTGAGCCAAGCCACGCACGGAACGCTGTATTCCAGCATATCAATTAAATTCATCAGCAAGCAATGTATCACTTGAGCCAGGCGATTCAATGGACTGAACGCTCCACTTAAGCCTACATAGCGAATATGTCGAATTCGGCATTAAATCAGCAAGGCGCAAGCAAGGCTTGCCGAGCGAAGCGGTTTGACGGTGAAATGCCGTCCATGCGTGACCTTCAGTGGAAGCTAAAACCTCATTCGTGTCTCACGACAATTCTGCAGTTAGTGTAATAGGCAGAAATTATTCCAGACCAAAAGAATGTCAGGTCAGTTGGATATAAGTGAATCGCTGCCGATTTCTCGGGATCAGCGGCAAAGTCCGCCAGTGACATCGCTAAATCATCCTCCTCGGGAGATAATGGAACCTTTATTGGAATTTTGGACCATCTGTCAGGGCGCAAACGGAACTGCCTGGTCACTGATCGCGAAAATACTACCTAATAAATTTTATATGTTTGGAGTGGAAAATAGAACTGTGGGTATTTTGGATGATTCAAAATTAGTAAACAGTCAGATCAACATATTATAGTCGTAACATTCTGCCTGTAATCTTTAGAAGGGGATAGTTTCAAGACAGCAATTTCCTGAAAACTGGTATTCATTTTTTAGCATTTACAATTGAGTAAAGTTTTCAAATTTCGCAAGTTCGTGCTACCATATAACAGTCTCCAATACGTCATTAACAATTTCACAATAAAATCGCACGCCACTGTCTTCTCACAACTCCCCCAAATATGGACGACGGGACAGCCCACCGTGTTGAGCGTCCCCGCCAAATTGGTTTAATTAAAGAGCACTCAGAGAAATGAGACTTTGTCCAAATAGCGATTCACTATCAGTCCTTGTGTGGGTCATCGTGACCCAGTTTTTCCCGGAAAAATGCCGGATCAGCTTCCTGGCTGGTCGAGATGAGCGTCGGGTTGCACGCGGCAACGCGCGTCTGGCGATGTGTCGACATCCAAGTTCCGCCGAGGGCCGCCATGTCAATTGTTGAACAAGCGAACAGCGCGGCAAGAAATGAACGCACAGATAATGAAGAAAAAACATACATAATAGTTTAATGTTATCAATAGAATTGGTTGTTTGAAAACCGAGAGAAACAAGATAATTCAGAACTTCTTAGCCCGTACTTCTTAGAACTTCTTAGCACCGTAACCTCCATAATTAATATAACCCACAATCTATATAGAAGTTAGTCCCGACCTTAACCATCGAAGGGGAAAATAACATTCAAAGCCAAAGAAGTAACATAAGCCTTGATAGCTGCTAAATATTAAACAGAAATAGTTCAATAAATACCGCAGACCTTTGAAGATAACAATGAAACGAAACTCGGCATCGATTAGCATGCATAAACATTCTTAATTGGAATGTTCGTCGGTAATAGAAACCACAATGACCTCTTTGAAACAACATCAAACATGTTGTCAAATGCGCGCGATACGCCTGCAAAAATTCTTGCTTGCATCAATGAAGTTACGATCAAACGAACTCAAAAATTGCAAGAAAACATACTAAGAGCGGGAAATATCTACAAAATTATTCATGTGCATGCTATGACTTGACAATTATCATGTATAGAACAAGCATGAAGCTAGAACAAATTGCTCTACCAAAGAAAGGAGCGACCCATGCAGTGAGCTGATAATCTTTCGAAGGTAGCTACTGTATATGCGAAGGGGAAGTTGGCTGCTGAAGATGAACTTCTAGAAGATCGCATGGCACTTGAGCAAACTTGGCAAGACTCGCAGCTTCTTTGAAGCGACGTTCGGCAGGTATAAAGAGCACCTAATTATCTCATTAGGAGCATATTATTTTGTATAAAGAACACTCAATTATCAGGGTCTCGAGTGCCAACGATAGCGCGAGCCTCCAAATGAAACATCATTGAGTGGGTAAAATAAATTTACTTATGAAAACGCGACGAAGACTGACTACGTTCTACTTTCTCGTTCAACTTTATCAAGTCGTTCTATACCACAAGTAGATTCTCTATAAGGGAGACAATTAAACTGTTATAGATACATCCACGTATGACAAGCACATTCACCACAAGAACAAAATCGACATTAACTCACGATGAGCTCGCTTTGTGTGAACTCCCGAGTTCGCGGCTACGTTAGTTCTACAATTCCAGACGAATTTTTCCCGTCGGACAGGACCAAATTTTCAACGATATATTAAAGATAAAGGTGCGGATGACGATTGAGATGAATTCCCAATGAGATTTTCACGCCTTTTCAGTGAACTCACAGATTTTGTTGAATTCATCACGCGAACAATATTTATAAACAAATTTTAGATGAATCGTGGGTCATTATCTAGGTTAAAATTTACCAATTGTGCGACAGAAACTTTCGAATAGGCGTGCGAAATTTTCAAGTAAAAAAAGTGCAGTGAAATCCGAAAAACACAAGTCCAGGAAAATACAAGAAACAGAAATTCATAACTTCGATTCTTCCAGCAAAGCAAAATATTCCATGACGACCATTTCTCTGAATTTGAATCGAGCGGAAAATCCATCCTTTAATTGGAACGGAACTAATTCATGCCTGCATATCTGTAATAAACTATCTTTACCATGTTCAAATGATGTACATATAAACTAACTGGTCACTGAAGCCAGAAAGGATGTAAAATTTACCAACATTGTTGCAGTTGGCAAAAGTAATCGCACCTTCAATTACTTTGTAAACACGACCGTTTTCATTGCAAAGCAAACTAGAATTGAGCTCAAGAGTCTTAAGGCTAACATTGAAAAGATTTTGAAAGTAAAGAACTTCCTTTTCAGACGTCATAAAGGATTGAAATGAGATGCCCGAGATTCCTTTCTATTGAAACACCAAAATGAAACAGCTAGATGAAGTGGAAAGGACAAAAATATACAGATATGAAACTATCCAACGTCAGAGTTTTTTCCGCTGTATTGATTCCTGGTAAACATCGGCGATAAAAACAAGACCTCTGGACATCCTAAGAGAAAAGCGACGCTGAAAGTCTTGCAAAAGGCAGCTAATTCAAGATGTACGTCAAGACAGTCAGTATCAGCGAGAGAGCTTTGGAGGAATAAAATATGATCTTCGTAAGACGACGTTCATTACTTCGTTATGAGATCGTCAATAAGAAATTAGTAGCCTTCTTCTAAAATGAGACGGATATATAGATATCGGAAAAAAACGCACGCCTCTCGAGAAACATTTTGCGATCTGTTTTGGATATTAAACAGTAAATATACATCTTAAATTCGGTTGTTGATCACCACTGTAGGGTTTTATGTTATAAGCCAGTGCAACAAACAGCATTAACAAAAAATAACTGAGAATTTACCGATAACTTTGCACCACACGCGAATAAGAATGAATAACAGAGCACATAACTGGGAGCCTCGTATAACTTTCTCCAAGTTTACCTCGACAGTAGCGAATTTTGTCATTGCGGTCACGTTCACATGGCCATGAGCTCGCGTGAGATGTGAAATTGTGAATTCATTGCGATCTTTATAGAAATTAAATTTAATCGGGACTTCACCCCCAGCACTGACGATTTAATTACATTCAGAAGAGTTACTGCTTTTATCTCCGGCAAGAAACTCGCTACGACATCGCTTTTGGCGAGCGAGGTCAGCGCAGTGAGTGAGCAATTGCAATTAAAATAGAAACTAACAACAGCAAAAATGAATAACTGGCCGAATAATCAATTCTGAGATGTAAAACCAACGAGAATGCACGATTTTTACGCAAATAAATGCTTTTTATAACTGGATCACTGATAAATTAAATTGATAACTGCATCACCTAATTTAAGACAAATATTTAAACTCGTACTTCCTATAATAAAGGTTAATGTCATGACAACCAACTGCAAAGAATTAAAAATTCAAAGTAACTAATTGCATGTCAAAGGAACCTCCCATTGACGAAGCTATCATTGATGTTAACCAATTTCACGTCATCCCACCCGGCGCTCTCATGAGGACCTCGTGAAGCCACAAATTAATATGGACAACGCACGCTATTCACGCGTCCATGGAGCGTCAGGAAAAAACGTGATTAGTTACTTCACCAGTAACGATAGCTGCGCTACAAGCGCCGGGACTGTCTATTCCCGGGTGGAGGGGGAAGAAGACGTTTTTTTCTGAACCCACCTGAAGTAAGTTCATATAATAAAGTGAATAATATCGATAACAAAACGAATGCGGACAGCGATAGAACTCGAATCCTGTCACACGCGAATAAAGATTAACGAGCGTTCCGAGTGCGAGCAGGACAAACTCTTATTGGACATGCAGCCATCTGCAAAAATGAGACAGCGAGCAAGAGAAAGCTGAATATTAAAACCTCTGAACCTTTTAATGCAAGAACGCTTCTTCAAATTTCCCGGTGATATTGGATTGCACCTACGGTTCGGATTCAATCGAGTAATTCAAATACATGGGAATGCAGTTATTTTTTATGTACATATATGATGTCGTACGTAGTGGAGTGACTCGGTCCAATACTGAAGAAAAGTAATGGACCGTAACGGAAGTGTTTACCAGTTTGCCGTTCTGCTCACCTTAAGCACGTAGATGGTGCCGGACTCGGGATCAACGGAGAAGGCAGCGCGGCGACGCGTCCAGTGTTTGCTCTTGGAGACCGAGGGCGGGGCGACGGCGGGGGGCGGCGCCCCTGGAGACCGAAGCGCCGGACCCGCGAGACCGAGGACGATGTCACTGACGAGCGACGAAGAGACCGGGAGAAGTCGTGACGACGACTTTGCTATGGGAGTCACGTGTGGCTGATGGGGTTTACTCAGAGACGATGATCTTGATTGGGGAAAATGTTGACGTCTCGTAGCTTCGCTGTTAAGATTATCATTGTGGGGGTTAGGACTGGGATCCTGAGGGTGGGGGTCCTGGGTTTGGGGGACCCCGTCCCCACTGAGGGAGTAGCGCAGCACTCCCCAGCTGCCCCCATCACGATCCCGTGCGACCACCTGAAAAAAATTCTTAGTATAAATATACGCATCGTTTTAAATAATATTGATCACAAAGTGTTTATGTTTCGGAACACCAACAAATATATTAATTCCTAACAATTCAATGCCTTCAAGATTTTCAATAACCTACTAGATTCAGTACGAATTCAACCCAAATATTATCTTGATAAGCCCAAGCCGACCAAATTGTAGTAGCCATATTTGTTATGAATGGGAGGCAATGAAGCCTCGCGACAGGAAGGCGCGCTCTTTATCAGAACTCAGATCAGGAATCCAAGTAGCACTGGAACCGCCATAAAAACCCAAATACGAGCATTGGAATCGAATAAGGAATATCGGGAATTCTATCATTGCTACCCAACTGTAAATAACAGTTGAATCATCACTGGCGTATCACCGGCCATGCATGGCCACCGATAACCCGCCGATGTTGCTCACGGAATTTAGTCTTGCAACGAACGCATATGAAGAACATGCATGCCGCAGCGAGCACAGCTTTTACTGCAGGCTCATATCAGAGCTCAAATGAGAAGTCGCTGGAGTTATAAAATTTCAATGATGATATTACTTCCAAACTACTATATAAGTACAACAAGTTCAATACCCCTATAAGAACGTTACAGCCTATTACATTAAAAGACGATTTCGATACTCCTACAAGAATCTTACAGTTTACTAAGTTAATATACAGTGATACCTCGACTTACGAACGCCTATATTTGCGAACTTTACCAGATACGCACTGGAAGTTCAAGATATTTTTGCCTCCGCGTACGAACATGTCCCAGCTTACTAACCCATTTTCAGTTTGGCTTTAAAACTCCAGTTTCTATTGTTCACAACATCTGCTATCAACTCATATGATTCGGCCACTTCGTTAGAGCATGTGATCGCTGCAACATCTCCGGTATTTTACGTCCGTGGTCTTATTTCTTTCCGGTGATTCATATATTTTATTTAATTGTGTTTATTAAATTAGTGCACGTTAAATACCAATAAGTAATTGATCATGACATCTAAAAAGACTACTGAGAACTGGCGAATAGAATGATACGAAGATTATTGAGTCAATAATTGACATTCAGCTTCAATTCCTAGCCTTATAGTTTTTATTTATAAATTCTTTAATTCCTATTAATAGTTATGGTTTTGTGTGTTCTATGTTAATGACTTTATGGAGTAATAGTTCAAAAAAAAAGACATTGCGGCATGCATTTGTTGCCTTTACACGAGTTCTTCTAGAAATTCATTCCACACACAAATTGGTGTTTCTTTCTACTGCATCAAGTCAAACTAGATCATAGTCGGTCGTTTCTAAATAATTATAATTAGAAGTATAACCGTTTCTGTTTTAAGTGCAGACAATATTAATTAGGCTTTTACGTTTGATGGAATATTTTTCGCTGTAATATTCTATAAATAGCACGTACAAGAGAACTGCTCGACGGTCAAATGTTAAAATCAACCTTGTGATATAACAACCAATCAGTCACTCTTGGCATTCGTTTCCACGCCAAGTGCACGCCACGCCAAGTGCACGTCATCTCACATTAATCCGTAAAGTTATATTTATACTCTAATTGCCAGAACCTGATTGTGCAGAGCCGCAACAACCAGAATTGGTTTTGCTTCTACTATTTTATTGATATTCATGCGTAAGTTGAGTATTTTCCGCAAATTTACGGACGGTTTTTCAGGCTCATCGCCGACATGCAGCTACAGAAATTACGACCCAATACACAACGTTTTGTATACTCGCGCTTGGCGTTATATAATATAATAAACTTGCCACATAATTAGCTTGGAGTTTGGAGTCCTCAGAAATATTTCTTTAAAGCTATCATAATATTTCGGCGACCATCAGTGAACCATTCATGTGAAAAAACAACAAGCACGAAACTGACAATGCGCTGCAATCGCCAACACTTTGGTCCACATCATATGGGTTTCGCATCATTTTTAACGCCCTCTCGATCCCTTTGCCACGACAAAACATATGCATGAAATACGTCCTAACTTAGGGATATCGGATAGATATTTTTTTAACAAACACAAAATCGTATTAATAATCTTTTAAATACCGAAATTCAGTGTCAACACAGTATACAAATATGAACAGATCACCTACAAATCGGCGTTATCTCTTAATAAAAAACATTTGGAGTCCGCAAAGTATAACGAAGAGTAGATCGATCTGGATTTGGGATATACCTGTATGTGAGGGAACTGAAATCAGAGAACTAGACTGAAGTTTTCAGCTACAGGCTCATTATCGGCAGAACGGTACAAATCTTCACTACAAACACATCTCTTAAAAGCTAATCAAGACCTCCTACATGGATCGAATTTCAATGCTAAAAAATTGGAGAGAAATGCTTTGATGATGGACCTTGATTAGTTGGCGTTGAATTTTGAGATGCATGGCTTTGGAGTACGTCGACTAATTAAATTATTCCTACACAGAAGGTGGATTAAAACAAATTAATCTCCACTGATAAAAATAATTTTGACAGTGAAAGAAGCCAACAGAGGAACTAATTCAGAAAGAGATTTAGAAAATAAATGTAATTTATTTTAGGAACGAAAAACAAAATAATTCAATGATTTTCCCAGGATCAAATTTACCATTATAGCTATTAACCTAATTCGTAGATAATTTAAACATTGATACAATTTCCCCAAAGTTAACTTTCGAGCAACTAGGTGAACATATTCTTTTTTAACCTCCTTCTCCTACCGAGAGACGCAAGTGAGGATGTCTCGGAACGACGCGACACTTAACTGCGCCGGTGTTTACACTGCATATAAAATTCATATCCTCGTATTATGTTCCAGAGCTTCCTGAAACTATTAGTTCTTACAGCTTCCATCCATTAACAAGGATCCAAAAGTAGTACGCTCAAATCTTAGATGGCAGTATCAAGCAGGAATTGCGATGAATGCTTTTTTCAGGCTTATATGCAATTGGATATTGTTGAATGAAGTCATCTTGTGAGTGGAAAAGTAAGTGCATCAAATATTCGAGTCCCCACATGGATGTCACTGAGATTAGCAATGAAAAATAAATGTTAGCTAATTAAGAAAATTTGGTTTATGAATTGAACGCAAACTCTAACCGCAGGTTACATACATGCAATAGAGATTAGTGAAGCTCGTCCATGAGTAACTCAAAAAAAAATGAAGCGGATTTTTTCTTCAAAAGTATCGGGCCGAGTGCAAAAAATATGAGTAAAGATAGAACAACAGATTAAAATCGACCAATAAATAGCCACTTGCAACTAATCAAGATAAAAGATTGACTGAAGCAATAAGCTATACACAACAGATGCCAGACTCAAGTCACCTAAAGCAAAGAGCCCAACACGGCAGCATTTCGAGTGCAGCCAAAAAATATGGAGGGAAATCCCAAGTGCAATGAAGATGGCAAATTAAAGACGCCGTCGTGGGCGCGCGCTGTGAATTCCTTCAGCGAACGCGAGACGAACTGCGCGAGTTCAGGTGCCGTAATTCGTGGGGTTCACGAGTTCGCGTTTACAAGCGCGTTGATGGATTACGCGATACTTTTTTTCATTGATAAAACAATGACCGTCAAACATAGGGAAAAAGTCAAAGGTGATGACACAAAAACGCTTAAGTATAAAAAACGCCACAATGTTATTGTTCTGAATTTTAGCGCCAGAAAAGTAGGAAGAATGCTGCAATGATGAACCGTTCCAAAGCAAAGTGAAAAAGCGTGTTCATAGAGATAGTATATTAATTCAAATGTTTATTGTTTAGTAAACAAAAATGTTTCATATACTTAATGCTTTATGACCATTCTAAACATGCGATATCACTTAGGTTATATTTTTTTACACCCAACAGTGGCATAGGTGAAGTGTTCCCCTGAATTTCAAGTAAAAGCAATTTTATTACAATTGTATTTATTAGTTGCATCATAGACGTTCTTCCTACTTTTATCCACCTGTTCTCTGGACCTTATAAGAATAAGTTGTCGAAATGTTGGAATTTGAACACACAACATGAGGCACGACTGTAACTTACGAGAACAGCAAGTGTCTCAACACTAATATCAAAATTAACGATGAATCAGCACGACGCACCTGTATGACCGGCTTGGGCAGGTGTCTGTCGTCTTCCTCAGTAATCTGCGTCTGATAAACGTCGTTGGCAAAACGCGGCGGAAACTCGTTGACGTCTTCGACAGTGACGTACAACGTCGCTTCTGCGCTGCCCTGAGACGTACGCGCCTCCAGCGGCACCGTCAGCTGTGACGTCAATAATAAGAAGATACGTTATTGGTGACAGTAATGCGGGCGCATTCAAGTATTGGTGTACGGGAATACTGATCACTGAAAAGAGAGGATAATAAGAAGATGCGTTATTGGTGACAGTAATGCGGGCACATTCAAGTTCATACGATGACACGGCGCAGGCATGTTTAGCGCCATACGATGACACGGCGCAGACATGATTAGCGCCATACGATGACACGGCGCAGGCATGATTACATTCCTGAGAGGGGATCTGCATTTCAGAGGAGCTGTGAGGACGGGTAAGATCTCTGGCGCCTTGAGCGATTTGTGAAGGACTAGATTAAGATCCTGCAATACTAGAAGAGCAGAGAATTTGTGAGGGTGGAGAAGAGAAGAGGCATTAGTGAGGGCAGAAAAGAGTCAAGAAAGTAGTGAACGTCGAATGCAAGAAATTCAACATCGCAGGCTGATTGATGGAAATAAAATAATCGACTGACCAAGTGCAATCGTACGAGGTAAAGCCTTAAATATGTGGAAATTATTGATAACTTAAACACATCACGTTTAATTTAAATATCTTTGCAAGAGCTTTGCACCGCAGAACCCAAGGGCAACCAGAGCATAACTAATTGTCGGCTCACATATGGCACGCATTACGAGTTCTTAAGAAGATGGGTGAATTAGAGCGTTCATCTTATTTTCGCCATTAACAATGTATTAATAATTTCCACCAGTTCAACGCTTTCCATGCAGTGAGAGGACCTGACGTTAGTTCTAACAATACTCCTAGATTAGCCCGACAGCCTGACAACAGCAAGCGTTCATAATTGACGGTTGAACTAGTATATAGTTCATTCATGTTCACAATTGACGTACTAGATGGGGATATATAGTTCGCAACGACCGGTGGTTGGATACGTGTTCCTTAGGCGCTGCTTGCATTTGGGCCCTTAAAGGAAGCTTAATTGGGGCGGAATGGTGCCGCCAAAATCTTCTGACCAAATACAATTTGAATAAATTCAAACTGCCTACGTAAAGCGCAATTAATAAGGATGAATTTTTGCAATAATAATAAGACGGAATAATGTACATGATTTCAAGCACAAATGGCAATCAGGGATCCAGTTGTCGGGCGATTGCCGGGAAGCAATTATTTCCATCGATATGGAAGAACTGTATAGGAGCACTGGCACAAATCACCCTCATCAATCGGAAGTTAAGTTTCGCCAAAGTTTAGGTTAGAATAGTTTTCCATGAGCAAGGAACAATCAACACTTTAGTTGAAGGAGTCATAGTTTTTCTATGGCAACTGTCAAAGTTTGGACAAAATTCCCCATCGAAAGGACGGTTCCTAAGGAGCAATTACAATTGTAGTTGTCATTCCTCCGGAAAACGAAGCCGTAGAGGCTCGAAATGAAGGATAAGAAGTTAGCGCCCGGAAAAAAATTAGTAGACGAGAAAAAAAGTGCTGACTCAGGCGTCTTTGGCTATAAGAGTTCCTGCATTTGCGAGGGAGAAAAACTCGTCTGCAGGGCAATTGGTTCCTGATTAATTGCACCTACAATGTCATGGTCGTGAAATTGAGCCTAATCTCGACTGGACTTCTCCAGCGATTACGCTCAAGAAAAAACTAGAAGACTCGAAGTCCGAAGTTCCGAAGCCTGATGCATATTGGATCAAAACTACGTGGCAGATGACAAGAAACTTGCTGAGTCTCCAAGTTCAGCTTGACATTGTTAATAAATATTGTAAGTAAGATACTATGAAGAATACATTTCAATGACAGCGGCGTAAAGCGTATCAGACTAATGAACACTTTTGTGATAACAGTATTAATGAGCAAGGTTTCAATGATCCCGCATATAAATACAGCTTGAGATCAAAACAACCGATTTGATTTTATTAAAAGTGCATTTAACACCGCATTTGGATGTTGTGTATTGAAGATTTTTTTTTTGATACTTTATCTAGGGACAAGTTAACCGTCGTAAAGGTTGTCGGTACCAGAATTAAGCTAGGTTTGGTAACAGGTTGGCATAGTCACCGGTTAGTCATATGATAAGAATATTGCACGTTTTTCTGACAAGTGAAAATGGTCTGAATTCTGAGCTTTCGTTAGATAGCCACTAGAAACCCACCATTTGCTAATCAATAATCCTGGAATGAATTCCGCGCTGCGAATGGATTGCTCACAGATACAAGAGAGTAAACCAGTTATATTGAATCAATTATTCTCTTAGAGTGGGGCGCGTTTCACCGGTGTTGACTTTACCTGCATCTCGAAATTTTTTATCTAGCAAAGCAACGGCAGGTGGGACGACCTGAGAACCGATTACTTCAAAATGAAAACGGTTTGTTATTATTCTTAAGTACCACAATTAATAAAGTACATAAGGAAAACATCCTAGAATGTTTAACTACCACAACTCGAATATTATACATATTTCCGTATTACACGGATACATCAGTACCGATTCACTCTCAATACAAGAGTAAAGCGGTTTTCTCAATACATCTCAGTACACATAGCACATGTATTATTTGGTCTCCAACTCACGTGTGCTGTAGTTTCTCTGTCGAGAGGCGACACTAGCGCCACGACGCCGGTGTGCGGCTGCACCGTGAACCAGTAGCGCTGCTTCCAGTCCAGCAGCGAATACCGCACTTCTGATTCTGCTCGTAGGAATATGATGTCTTATTTACGAACACATGTTTTGATGAACTTAAAAATGAGACTAAATTGAGATACCAGTAGCGCTGTCTTCCAGTCCAGCAGCGAATACCGCACTTCTGATTCTGCTCGTAGGAATATGATGTCTTATTTACGAACACATGTTTTGATGAACTTAAAAATGAGACTAAATTGAGATACCAGTAGCGCTGTTTCCAGTCCAGCAGCGAATACCGCACTTCTGATTCTGCTCGTAGGAATATGATGTCTCATTTACGAACACATGTTTTGATGAACTTAAAAATGAGACTAAATTGAGATACCAGGGGCCATACTTTCAAAATTCGCTAAGTGAACGTAAGTACTTACGCTCTATTTTCTTGTCTATGATTGGTGGATACTTTCAAAGCTCGCTAAGTGAACGTTAGTACTTACGCTCTATTTTCTTGTCTATGATTGGTGGATTTTGCTGTAAAGGCCGTCAATTATTGGCTGATGAACTTACGATCTCTTAACTTTTATTGAAAGTATAGGTCCAGTAGCGCTGCTTCCAGTCCAGCAGCTAATACCGCACTTCTGATTCTGCTCATAGGAATAAGATGTCTTATTTACGAACACATATTATGGTGAACCAGTAGCGCTGCTTCCAGTCCAGCANCTTGCTGGGCACACAAACTGCACACGCACTGCAAGGCTGAGCCCAATTACTTGCTGGGCACACAAACTGCACACGCACTGCAAGGCTGAGCCCAATTACTTGCTGGGCACACAAACTGCACACGCACTGCAAGGCTGAGCCCAATTACTTGCTGGGCACACAAACTGCACACGCACTGCAAGGCTGAGCCCAATTACTTGCTGGGCACACAAACTGCACACGCACTGCAAGGCTGAGCCCAATTACTTGCTGGGCACACAAACTGCACACGCACTGCAAGGCTGAGCCCAATTACTTGCTGGGCACACAAACTGCACACGCACTGCAAGGCTGAGCCCAATTACTTGCTGGGCACACAAACTGCACACGCACTGCAAGGCTGAGCCCAATTACTTGCTGGGCACACAAACTGCACACGCACTGCAAGGCTGAGCCCAATTACTTGCTGGGCACACAAACTGCACACGCACTGCAAGGCTGAGCCCAATTACTTGCTGGGCACACAAACTGCACACGCACTGCAAGGCTGAGCCCAATTACTTGCTGGGCACACAAACTGCACACGCACTGCAAGGCTGAGCCCAATTACTTGCTGGGCACACAAACTGCACACGCACTGCAAGGCTGAGCCCAATTACTTGCTGGGCACACAAACTGCACACGCACTGCAAGGCTGAGCCCAATTACTTGCTGGGCACACAAACTGCACACGCACTGCAAGGCTGAGCCCAATTACTTGCTGGGCACACAAACTGCACACGCACTGCAAGGCTGAGCCCAATTACTTGCTGGGCACACAAACTGCACACGCACTGCAAGGCTGAGCCCAATTACTTGCTGGGCACACAAACTGCACACGCACTGCAAGGCTGAGCCCAATTACTTGCTGGGCACACAAACTGCACACGCACTGCAAGGCTGAGCCCAATTACTTGCTGGGCACACAAACTGCACACGCACTGCAAGGCTGAGCCCAATTACTTGCTGGGCACACAAACTGCACACGCACTGCAAGGCTGAGCCCAATTACTTGCTGGGCACACAAACTGCACACGCACTGCAAGGCTGAGCCCAATTACTTGCTGGGCACACAAACTGCACACGCACTGCAAGGCTGAGCCCAATTACTTGCTGGGCACACAAACTGCACACGCACTGCAAGGCTGAGCCCAATTACCGCCGTGCTCGCAAATAATGATAACGAGGCGTGGCGGGGATGTTTATTGGGAGTTGCGGAGAATATTATTCAATATATGCAAACTTTAACGTTCAATCCTGCTGTGACCACGAGCATAAATTAGTCCTCATGTTGCCTGATGACATTTAGGTTAGCATTTCAGTTACTAAGCTCATTAGTGACACCGTTATGAGTTCATAATCATACTCTAATCGGAATAAATTAACCTAAACTGCTACAATCGATCATTGTTCTGCGCTTTAGCTCGTTCTTAATCTCCTTTTGGCGAAAATTGATTCAATCAGCATTAATAAAGTTGGATAATCGAACCAACATTCATATAAATTAGTACAGTACTGCAGGGATAAGTTCCGGTCATCGATGCAGTCACTCGTTATACTTATCTTGAGGATGGCACTGAAGGAAACTAATTAATCGAAGTAGCATTCGTATTTCCTAGTGCAAATACTTCTTATCTTCTTATTTTAAATGCTTTTGAGGGGCGCAAATCTAATAAACATGTAGACACTAACTCCTTTTATTTTCTAAAATGTGGAATTAAATGCATTTCATGACACTATCAGACTATAATAATCAGAGCACGAGAGAATTGACGCTGCGGCCGCAGAAGCTGCAATTATCTTCCGTGGAGTTTCAGGACCTCAAGCGCCGGCGGTGAAAGCAGCACTCGCTCTGCATACAATGAGGCATAAGTCCCCAAAATTTGGTTCGTATTTCCACCCACGCCAGAAGATTTACCTTTGTTCCTCGTGCAGTACATTAGGCAGCTAAGAATATTCTGGTCCTTGTGAGGAAACAATTCCACGCAATGGATGTCTTTATTTGAGGGCAAGAACGGGCGGTCGAGGGCGGTATACATGATACCGCGCTGAGGGCCGCTGTTGCTATGCTTTTGCACGTTAAAAGCTCCAAGATTAAAAAGATATTCGAAAAAAGTGTGGTTACATACATTTAAATACTGATTAGTTCAAAATTTGATTATTAATACAATTTGAAATTAATTAATTAATACAAATACAGACGAAATTATTTAATTAATACAGAAAGTAATTAATAATTAATATGAAATTAATTAATACAAATACAGAAGTTGAAATTTATATGGTGATAAAATATAATTAAATTATTTTGTTCATTTAACAAACTTCAAAATTGGCTCGTTTATTACAAGGTTAATGAAAAACTTAATATGCATTTAAATATTTAGAAAAAAGGAATAATTGTTGAACAATTTTTAATTTGGTGCAACCATATTAATTGTTTCTAATCACCATAGACCTAATGCTGTAAGGTTCAAAACTTTAAATCGGCAGAGAGACAAGCGACAGAGATTATACAAATATTTTCAATAGCTACAAAATTTGAAGAAAACACTGGTAGAGGCTCCTGGGACTCTAGAAAAGAAACAACCCTCAGGATACACAAATAAATTACAACAACACGATGATACAAATTTATAGAGGATGGAAACCAGGAGATACGAAAAGCATCGAAAGCAAGCGACCAGCCGTCAGAGCATAAGACCGGCAGGCAGAGCATAAGACCGGCAGCCAGAGCATAAGACCGGCAGCCAGAGCATAAGACCGGCAGCTATAGAGCATGTGTATAAGAGACAGATATTATGGTG